TCGAATTGTAAATTATCTAAAACTAAAATTTTAGAGCTCATCTGTTTATACTGTAGAGTTGACTTAGTTTTGTCGAAGTAAAAATTGAGAAAATTCCCTTTTCCATAAATTACTATTTATTTCAAAATGAATTTTGCAATAAGGCTTTTTTATGCTACACTTATTAACCTTTAGATCCTTTAGTTTTGGCCACAAGTGTTCATATATATATATATATACATATTCATCCTATTTTAAGTTAAAAATATACTCAAGACACAACGCCTATTTCAAGGGAACAAAACAGTAACAAAAAATTTTTGTTACTGTTTTGTTGTTGTTTTTTTGTAATTAAAGAAAAGTCCTTTTTTTATGGCGGGCATGATAACTCCTAACTGGAACATCGGAATCCGAAAATTCCAACGGTGTTAGAAAGAGTACATAACTGGCTCTCGTATGAACCAGGATTATTGACTTCGCTCTAAAATGGCGGACCTTTGAAAAAATATTTTTGGAAAATCGCCGATTTTTGACCAAAAACCAAGTTAAAAAATAAGGAAGATCTTCACCGATTGGCTTTATCCTAGTTCATGCGATAGCTATACACTCACAGAGAAACGTGTAAATTTGGAATCGATTGGGTTATTAGTTTAAAACGCGTTTAAAGTTTGAGAAGCCCTTTAACCGTCATTTGATGCTGACACAATAAATCGGCTATATCTTCAAGAGTCCTTGAGATTTTCACATGAAATTTTGTAGGGACATTCTTGAATTAGTGTAGATTCGAATTAAATCAAAATTTTTTTCGACGTTCCCACGCCTCTCATTCCCACCGCTGTCGACCGAGGGACCTCCCCTTACGTAGGGATCGCGTACACACCATGATCTCTATCATGATGGGATTTCAGAGTGGAATAAAAAACCAGATACAGAATCTACTTCAACAGCCAGTTTGTTATTAAGTTTTACTACTCATTTAAAAATACAATTATATTAGATTTTATTTGTTCTACGCTCAAGCAAAAATCTACATTAGAGTATACAGAGTTAAAGTCAATACACATTTTACTAAGAGAATCTCCCATAGAGTAATTCGTGCGGTGGAAGTCTACATATAACAGTTGATAGTGTCTACTAGATCGGACAGGAACATTTATTCTAATAGAAGAAATTAGGAAATCCGAAGGTATATTGCCATTTAATATTTTTAGTACCATCATAGTATTCAACATAATACGTCTACTTTTCAATGTAGGCAAACGAATTAATTTTAACCTGCTAGTATAATATGGCAACACAAAACTACTATTCCAATGTAATCCTCTCAGAGCAAAAAGTAAAAATTGTTTTGCACGGATTCGATTTTATCAGAATATATTGTATATTGGGGATCCCATACAACAGAACCATACTCTAAAATAGGTCTAACAAGATACGTAAATAGTTGTTTCGTTATATATGGATCCGAGAATTCTTTGGCCCACCGTTTTATAAATCCTAAGACACCATAGGCTTTATTTACCATAGATATAACATGATTGTTAAAATTTAATTTTGGATCCATTAGAATACCAAGATCAACGAAAGAATCTACAGTTGATAAAACCGAACCATTAATATAGTAATGTCTTATCGAAGAAGAATTTCTAGAAAACAACATATGTTTACATTTATTTAAACTCAAGTCAATACAATTTAGGCTGCACCTTTGAAATAGGCGATTTAAATCATGCTGGAGTAAATCAGCTTGCTTTTCACAATGATGGGTAATGAACAACTTGACATCATCTGCATACATTAGCAATTTGGAATGCGATACAGAATTTGGCAAATCATTTACAAACTTCCCTGCGGAACACCTGATGGAACATTAATCGATTTTGAAAGACATCCCTCAAACAAAACTATCTTGACCCCGAGAATGGGGGGGTCCCCTTAGAGAATAATTTCGTCAGACTACACCGCTTTATAACGATATACAGCAAAGATAACATCAAAATGCAGGGATTAAAAGTGAAAGAATAACAAAGGATTAAACTGGCAGCCATATTATATATTTTTTATTAAGCGTAACATCCTGTTTCGGATTTTCAGAATTCAAGAAAAATATCCATTGGTTATATCGTTTTTATTGTCTGTCCAATTTTAGATTAAACATGACTACACCGCCATATAAAAATAATATAATATGTAAAACGAACCACGAAAGCAAAAAATACATACTGATAATTATAAACATTACTCTACTTCGTAGAGGTCTATCAAAGAAGCAACTGAAGCAAAAATCAAGTGTTCAAAGTGAAAATAATGTGCAATGAACAATACAATTTTTTGTTGTTTTTATTTATTTTATTTTTGCCTTCGCGTTAACGTTGAATAAATTAACCATTTTCAAATTGTTTTCTACCAACCAATGGTAGAAAACACAACTAGATTTCTCGTTAATTATTACATGAAAATGGTTTGCAAATAACGTTCAAATAACAATGCACCAGCAATCCACTACACTTTTTTGATATTTGTAAAATTCAGCTCTGGAATAATTTACGATGCTCACAACAACAAAAGAGAGAGAGAGATATATATGTAAAATGAACCTCAATTTAAAATGTTCATATAACTCCATTGTATTCGAAAAACAATTGCAAAAAAACTACAAAATAAATAAATCGCAACTGCACTTACCATTGCACTGAAAAATTGTATAACACCCAATTGACAGAATACAAATATAAAAAAAATTACGCTATATAATTGCCACATAGGAGTTGATTCAACTTTCCAACTGAATGTATTCTCTCATCTGCCTTGTAGGAGAATTATAATTAAATATAGATTCAACTATTAGCTCTTGGTTAACTCGAACCCGACATTGAAAATTCAGCAGAAAAATGATTAACAATGTTACTACAAATATATGAAATTACGAAGCTATACCCTGTATTGAGCGCTCTATATCATTGTTTCAGCCAAACAGTTTGTATTGATAGCAGAACCACAGTTTAGTACAAGATTGTATTTTCTCAAGATCCCTAAATCGCTGCGACCCCGTCCGAGCAGTCGTCATGAAATTAACCACTGACAACCTAATATTTTATTTAAAAATAAAAATATTTTGCTAAAAATATAAAATTTTATTTCGAAAGAAACTGAAATGGCGCTGGTGAATGTTGACAGATATAAAAATCCAAGCAAGAAAAAATCAATTCAATATTTTTAGTACCTATATAATAAAATTTAATAGTTTGGTGCCCGAGCCGCAAAGGCGCTATGTAAATTTGAATTCGTGTAACAGCAACTTTGCCCTTTTCTTACTATCGATCAAATTATGAAGGCATTATGAGGATTTATTTATAATAGGAAATATTTATGAATAAAAATACATTCGTGTAATGTTTGAGTTTCAGTAGGTTACTAAAAGTGAACTCTAAATGGAGAGGAATATTTTATTGTGAAACAATCCAACAGTTAGAAACGAAGAAACCATCACTATTTAGTCAAGAAATAGTTCTTCGAAATAAATCTAAAGAGAATTATCAATGCGGACGAGGAAAATTGGAAAAGACATCTAGTACTTGAAAGTGTCAAGTCCTTAACATCATAACAACGATAAAACTAGTGAACTTATTTTTTCCGGTCTACCGAGGTCTTCTGCGAAAAAAGCAAGCGAATTCACTTTACTGCATGTCAATTTTTCTAATGAGCTTGTTGTACTCCCGAAGATAGTTATCGCCCTACATTATCCATGATATATGATTATTTACTTGCTGACAGTTTGTCAAAACTCTACTTAAATATAAACATATACGTTTTCGTAAGCTTAATTCACATATCTCCTCCGTAAATTGGACCTCTATACGGCTTTGTAATTTTCTGTGACACAAAATAAATTTATTTCACAATGTGTTCCTACTGTTAGAATTCGAAACTCTGATAAACAACCACAACCAAACAAGTATTACAAAAACTCAATTTAAACTTTTTAGTTCATAGGAAAAATAGAATACTCTTACTATTCTGTTGCTAGATCCAAAGAATATAGGAATATAGATGATTGTCAAATTAAGTGTTATACCAACATTAATCGATAAACTGATTACTTCTGTAATTATAAAAAAAATTCAACCCAAACCTACTTTAGGTTAGGTTAGGGATGTACGGTTGTTAATAACAACCGCCCACTCGGAGACTATGTCCATTGTAACCTACTTTAGTAAAGCTTCTGATATGGTTAACAATGGACATTTACTTTATAAATTAAAACATATTGGCTTTAGCATAAATTTAGTAAATTCGATATCATCTTATTTGTAAAGTAGTTCTATGATAAATAATATGGTTCACAAATCGGTGGGTCAAAGAATTCTCGGATCCTTATTTAACGAAACAACTAGTTATGTCTCTTGTTAGACCAATATTAGAATACGGTTCTGTTGTATAGAATCCTCAATATGCAGTATATTTCAATAAAATCGAATCAGTGCAGAAATAATTCATACTTATTGCACTGCTGGGTTTACATTGTAATAGTAGTTTTGTGTTGACATCCTAATTCGACTGTAAGTAGATGTATTATGTTGAATACTATCATGGTACCAAAAAATATTAAATTAATTCCATCTATTGGAATAAATGTTCCTGCACGATGTAGTTGAATCTATGGGAGATCCAATTAGTAAAATGGGTATTGATTTTAATTCCATGTACTCCCTGCCGATTTCTGCACAAGCGTAAAAACTTAAAAACTGGCTGTTGAAGTAGATTCTGCAGCTAGGCAGATGGTGTGTACGTGATCTGTACGAAAGGGGAGTTTATATGCACTCAAATCCCGTCACGATGCTGATCATGGTGTGTATGTGATCTGTACGAAAGGGGAGTTTGAATGCACACGTTCGTAAGAAGATGGTACATTCGCAAATTTTTGAAAAGTATTCTATTTTACATGGACTTTAAACTGAACCAATAACAAATTTTGATGTTTAATTCTTAAGGATAATATTTCCATGTAATTTTCAACTCACCTGTGTATCGTTCAATATTTCTAAATGTTCTCCTTTGCGGAAACTTAAATCCTCGTCCGTACGGGCGTCGTAATCGTACAATGCCACAAATATTTTTGCATTGGCGTTTGATGTTTCGTTCTCAGGAATTTGAGGCACAGGTCGTATTTGTTCCTGCGGTTGTCCAATTGGCATAGTTATTTGTGGAACGCCAGTTACACCTACGGCGGCTGCATCGTCAAGCGGACTACGTTGATCGACATGAGTCTTGTCAATGTCAGATTTTTCTGTGCGTAAACAATTACCCATGATGGCAAACAACAGCAACAGCTGCTGGGCTTTCGTCTCCTGAATAGATAATGTATAAGCGATAGATGGCGACAGCAACTTTTCGTATCCACAGAACAGTAAATAATCGCTTAGGAGTGCTAGCTAACAGATGCAACCAGGAGTAGAAGTAAAAACACTTGAGACTTCTTCTCCGTTTTGTTTTGTTGCTTTATTTCGTATTTCCGTTGTTTTGATTGTCGTTTGTTGATTGCTTTTGTGACGATGATGAAGAAGAAAACGACGACGACGACGACGGCAATGATGACGGATGGGAATGGTAAAGCCTGTTTCTCATTCGGAACAGCAAACAGCGGTTGTAGGGGTGTTGGCACTTTATTGGGTTTATTGCATTTATGATGTTCTTGTTGAGCTTGTGTTTACTATCGTTTGATTCATTCTCTTATTTATTATTTTTCTTTTTTGTACGTATTCTTTCAGGATTTGTTTATATCCATAGGTAATTTATAAATATATTCTATTCTCTGTATTGGCGGTAAAGCGGAAGTAAACATAAATAAACAAATACAACGACAATAAAATTGTTTATTATGCGGGATGGGTGGATCGCCGAATGTATCTTCGAAAAAAAAACATTCTTCATAATTCTCTCATAAGTTTCAAGTAAAACAAAAACTCGATTTCTCTCACACGCTCTCTCTCTCTCTCTCTCTCTCTTTAACACCAGTTTATAATGTTTATTCAGAATCTAACAAATAAATGATCGCCTTAATTGCATTTTATTTGGAAAACTCTTGTAATTATGGTCTGTCTGGTTGTTTAAATTATTAGAACAGCATCCAAGCTGAACAAAGAGTTTGTGAATGGATCTTTATGGTTGATTGCGCGAATGCAGCGTTGCCAGACTTCCATTTGCATCATAATTATGGGATTAATTCATAATTCAAATAAATATATTTCTTCCGAATATGAACAAATACAATTAATTTAAATGTGAATTTAAGAAAAATAAATGCTAATTATCCATTTACTATTGATCATAACGTTGCCTTTCTATTTGCTTAATTTTGATATTATAGATACTTTGAAGGGTAATATACGTAGATGGGAAGAACTGGCTCCACGACTTTACATTTAGGTTAGGTCTTTCATGTATAGGTCTTTCATGTATAACTCCAGATAATAATCGGAATTACCTCAAAAAGTTTTTGGCGGAAATTTATGACTTATGATTTATAAGGTACCATGCATTGTACTAATTTCCAGATTTAATGTGGCAGCTATACGTTTGGTATCAAATTAAAGGAGGAACAGGTGAATTTGACTAACGATATGAAACAATTATAGACTTCCAAAAACAAATTTTGGTTGTCTCACAATATCAGTTTGCCAGGTTAAAACCTGTACTAAACTATTTTTTAATAAAATTTCGTTTTGGCAATAAGCTAGGAAACTAAAATATAATAATTTATAGAAATTCTTCGAGATAAATGGACGATGGCGTCAAATGAATTGACAAATTAAGTAATTTTTAGGGCCCGATTTCTGGTCACATTTGATTACAACTAAAGATATTTTTCTTGTTAGTCTTTATAGTTACGTGGGGTGCCATTAAGCAATATAAGGTATCATTTGAAGCTGTTGAGGTCGTGATTATAACAACATATGTTATTTATAGTGATTATGGCACTAATCCCATCTTATTGCCGTAGATAGTTTGAAAATAAATAAAAACATAGCGGACAGAGCAAACGTTTTTTAATTTCCAAGACAGCGGGATGGATATACTATCCCAAATGATCCGAGTCTGGAGCAAGTTGAGTTCAGGGGCTCTTCTCGTCAGGAGGAAAATTCGGCAAATGTATCAAAATTTGTTTAACTATTTTTTCTCATCGGTCCATAAATGACGAAGTTATGAGCATACGACTTCCGGAACTTCAGTGGTCCATATCTCGGGAAGTATGAACTTCTCCCATGAATCTCATATACCTATTTTCATGATCAGGGAGACGAGACGTACATGTGGAAAAATAAAGAAAAATTAGAGATGAGCAACTCAACTTAAGCCCCGAGTCTTACTAGGCCAATGACTGCCTGTCATATCAGTCAATTGTGTAAAAACAGTAGGGCTGCAACAACTACAGCAATTACACAATAAAAATATCTATCACTGAAGCAAAACCAAAAAACATATTAGTCGCCAACAATTTTCTGCATCATATCCAGAAAAAAATCTTCCACAAATAATTTTTTCCTCAGTTATAATTTGCACAATACTTCGTCCTTTTTCATAACACATCATGTAATTTACTCTATCTGGCAACACACACAACCAAAGTAAGAAGTTGACCGAAAACAAAAGAAATAAAGAAGGCGAAGGCACATCATAAAAACTCCATTCACAATAGGCACGATAGCTATATTGACATTTTTTTCTTCATTTCACAACACACTCATGTACATTCTATTCAGCGAACACTACTTGAATTTGTTTTTATTTTTTCTTTTTTTTGTGTTTCTTTCGCTTCTTTGGCCGTACGTATCTTCGTGCAATTATCTTTCACAACAATTCTCTATAAATTCGATGATACATTCATCCATCCAAAGTTAGTTGTTGGTAGAGTAATTGGTCAAATGGAGAAACACAGAAGACAGAAGCAACATGCAGTGAAATTCTGCACAAACTATGTTATTAACAGAGATGGGGAGAGGGGAATGCAAGAAAATTCCCTTTCACAATGTATTTTCATTCGTATCCATATCCATTTATGCTTTACAATTTTATTTAAAATATTTGACTTGTAAACTTTTTATCTATTAAAAATCACTAGACACAGCACACTCATTGCTGGAAAACATAATTCACTTTCGTCTCATACACGCACAAATGCTTCTTTCTGGCTCGTACATAGCAAAGCGAGAGAGGACAAGTTCCATTATTGTATCGTGTTTTTTCTTTTACGGTATTTTTCGTAGTTAAACTTTTTCTATTTTCCTTTTTCTGTGAGTGTGCCATTTATTAAGTACTTCCAACTACCACTTTACACACACAATTTGCTGGCTTTTGAACTCACACACAATTGAAAACAATTATTATATTATTTCACAAAACACGACAAATGCAGAACACAACTAAATGTCCATTAATTGAAATAAATAAACACAATATTCATTTCCCGTTCGTTTTTCGAAAAAAATTTGCCATTTCGAGAGCAAAAGACAAAACGACGACGACGACACCAACAACAAATTGACAATAGGTATAAGTAAATCGACTTTCGACTAATCAAATTTTTGTATTGGAGTGCGGTGCCATGCACAATAGCTGTACGCCGTTACCGCCCATTTTTTCCGCACTCCAATGTCTAACAACGTTACCTAAAATCCGACGGGGCGTACAAAAATATTCAACTTCCCCACTATGGCAAAATGTTGTGTACGGCCGTATTAGCGTGGTTTTATATTTGTCGGGATCGGGATCGGTGTTGAGAGTTTCTCTCTCTCTCAGTGGTAAATTGTGAATTGTGTTGGAAAACATTACCACAGGTAGGAACAAAAGAGTACGAAAAGGTACCTAAAATTCTACTTGAAATGATAATAAATCATAATTACCCAGAAATATTGGCCAATATTTATACCAGTTATTTCCATAAATAATATATGTTATAATTTAAGCGTAAATGTATTCACGAATAATAAAAATTCTAATTTTTGTTTTGGTACGTTTATGTCAATTCGTATCTTTTGTGAACAAAATGTACGCTTGTTACAAAATTAAAAATAGCGCAACTCTAATTACTCTCTCAAGAGAGAGAAACTCTCAACACCGATCCCGATCCCGACAAATATAAAACAACGCTTACCCAAATACGTCGAATACATATCTTCAAACAAATAATACAAACCGCAAATTAAAATTGAAAATTTATTAAATTAATCCACATGTTTTTAGTTTCCATTCGAAATTTCAAATTTCCTGAATGTTTTGTTTTTATTTTCAACAAAAGAAAAAAAATGAAAAATACGTTCTGTCAAAGTTGAAATTTTTCAACTTGAAATTTTGTACGTTCGACGTATTTCGGTAACATTCATATAAATACATGTGTTCTACTTTTGTGGTGAAAAACGTCGAACGAGCTAGTTGAATTTTAGGTAAGTCTGTAAGGGTCGTACCTAAATTCGTGCGTATGCGTACGAATTTATTCACCTCAAAAGTTAAATACATGCATTCAATGAATGTATAAAAATATAAAGTTGAAATTTTTCAACATTAATGCGTGTTTGGATTTTTTGTTTTTTGAAAATAAAATTCCAGTCATTGAAAAAATCGAAAAGATTTAGCAGTGTAAGCTCGATCGGTGACGTAAGGGATCTGATTGGCTTTAACATGGAGAAGCCCAGGCTTATCTTGGTCCCTCTTTCATCTCAATTGTAGACACACACCTCCCCGCGCTGTCACCTGGGGTAACTATTTTCATCATCCATTGAAATAGTGAGCTGATATGTGACGGGAGTTCAGCCATAAGAACTATAAAAAATGAGTTGAGGCATCGGGTTAGTTTCCCACACTCGGAAAACCCCTCTTACTATGAAAAAGCAACGAAAAAGAAAACCAAACTATAGCTGCCATGAAACGAGACGTGAATTTGGATGTGGATTTATGGTTAATAGGAAAATAAAAGACATCGTCTCCAGATTCACTCCAGTAGATGAGCGAATTGCTATAATCCGCATAAAAGCGAAGTTCTTCTACATCAGTCTTATTTGCACCCATGCTCCGACGGAAGACAAAGATAAAAAAACATCATTTTCATTTCAGTTAGATTTGAATAAAATTAAATTATATTTATTTTTTGAATTGGTATCGTTTGCCTAGTTTTGTTTATCTTTGTAGTATTAGTTCGGCTGTAGGCTTTTTAAAAGTAAAAATCGTTTCTAATTTTGATTTTTAATGTTTATTGTTTCCAATATTTCGATTGGATTCTCCAATCATCCTCAGGGAACTACAATTACATATATTTTAACAGAT